AAAAATTGGAACACTACAGCACCCGCAGTCACAGAAATGAGAACAAAGGCATCATAGGAGTCGTCGTGCGCGTGGCCGTCGTCGTCGTCGTCGTCCTCGTCCTCCTCCTCCTCCTCCTCCTCCCTTTCCTCCCCTGCTTCTCCTCGTCCTCGTCGTCTCCGTAGTCGTGTCTACTTACGGACGATGGCAGCTACCACAAGAACCGCACTTCTGCCTCCAAAGCCGGACGGGAGTCCGGGCTCTGAGACACCAGGCTGCCCAGCAGCTCAAAGAGCCACGGAAAATCCAGAACAGAAGGCCCCTGAAAAACCGGCCCGGAAAACCTGAAACACCTTGAGCACCCCTGTCGCTAAGCCCCAGGTCCGAAAGCCCTACTACCGGTAGAGCTCTAAAAAGCCTCTGGAGAACGTAATACCCTCAATCCCGATGAACTCTAGAAGCCTTTGAAAGCCCCAAACAACGACGGAACACAAAGTCTGAGTCCAAGAACCCAGGGCTTTGGTATCGAAGGTGTCCGACGGCACCATTTGCCTGGGTCTGCAGCTTGTTTTAGGGATGCTGGGCTTGGAGACAGGTTCGAAAGTCTAGGGTCTATAGGGGTTAATTAAGGCTTTTCAGGTTCAGAGACTTGTTTGGGAGCGATTTTCGGATGGCTTTTACTCCATGCCTCCACTTCAAGAGTAAATCCCGCGACTCCGGGATCCCACACGACCCTAGGCCCGAACCCGCACTGAACCCACCACCGCGCCATAAACCTGTAACCCCCGCCCCTTAGATCCTCAATAAGACCACGAAGTGTAGGAACCCCAAACCTAAAACCCTAAATCCTTAAACCGACTAAACCCCTAAAACCCTAAACCCCCAAAAAACCCTAAAGCCCCAGACCTAAACCCCTAAACCCCTACACCTTGAGCCTCCTGGCCCAACTTTTTTCGACTGCGGTCAACAAACGAAAAAAGCCCCCTTTCTGTGCCTCTCCGCATCGAAGGGATGCATGAAGGGGGCCAGGGGCTGAAGGAAGCGATTCACCTCCGATGGGATTTGGGGTGTAGGATTTAGGGTTTTAGGCATGACTTCGGGGTTGGGATCTAGGGCCTAGGGCTTTCGGGCCTAAACTTTTTGAGGAGGGTTGGGAATCATGATGTTGGGCCTGCGGGCTTCGTGATTCGGACTTGGGATGGAACTCTCATCTGCAACATGCGGCTGCGGGGCTTCAGTGATCAGGGATCCGCAGTATGATGCTGAATTACTGGTTCGGGTGCTTCTCGTTTTGTTTGGGTCGCAGGTTCGGGTGGATGATTGCCACCATATGCATCCACCCCAGCCTTCCAAAATAAGGCCCTTGTACACCGCGCCACGCAGTCACCGTCGTCTTCAATCACTTTCCGCGCATCTGGGTGTGTTGCACCATCTTGTGTACGTAGGTGTGCCATAGAATTGTGTGGGATACTCGACTTGCCTTCTGAGAGCTCTGGTGCCCCTGCCTGCTCTGTGTGATTAGTTGAGCACGTCGTCGCTTGCAGTCGATAAACCCCCTGAAGTCACCCAACAAAAACGCATGAACTCTTCCTTCCCTGGCACCGAGCCTCACCCTGCTGCGCCAAGCCTTGCTGCCGGAGGGCGAATTCCGCGGCCTGAGGCTCAGGCTTCCGGGATTCAACTTCTGGGTTTGACGGACTGTGTGGCATTGGGGCTTCGGGGTGTGGATTCTTGGGGGTCTCGGGCTTAGGGTGTGAAGGTGTGGGGCCGTTGAAAGAGCTGGTGGTTTGAGGGCTTGGGTTGGTTGCAGGAGTTCGGGGAGCTGTTAAGCTGTATTGGCGGGGAAGCTTCGGTACTGTGCTCTAAAATGAGCAACGGGAGCTGAAGTGCACAGGAGCTGCAAATCGAAAGAGCTCTAGAGTGCGAAAGCTTGTTGACCCTTGCTGCCAGGCCACGCACTCTTCAGGCGTCTCGAGCTGCACCTATGTAAGAAGTTGACAGGATCGAGGTCTACACCTTTAGAGACATAGAGTTCAGACTGAGGCTTAAGATTAAGGTGGCTTGGGAACCTTGGATCCCGAGCGGAGAAGTGCTGCAGAGGCGTGCACGTATGTACTTTGCAGGCATACATATAGGCATATGTGTATAGACATAGACGTAGACATAGACATAATACACATCGACATATACACATATAGACATACACATACACACAAAGAGGCACAGATAGCGATACAAACACGGACACATATACACATAGGTATAGTTACCAGTTACGGAGAGAGGGATAGAGCACCTCTACACATGATATACATACCAAACTATATATATATAAGAATACGATAGCTATAACATATATACTCTATATTATATATTATATATAGGCATGCGTCCTTGCGCCCAGGCACGTGCTTCTCGTAGATGCGATCGCAATTCGAGTGGTGCAGGAAGAAAATCGGATGGAATGCTGCATAGGGAACAGTTGTCATGGGAAACCCACATGCCTTAGCTGTGGAATCTTTCGCCAAAACAAGACGTGGTGGAGGCGTCCTGAATCCGACATCGTCACAAACGTACCCCCATCAAGACCTTGGGCCTTGCTTCTTGAAGGACTGCCCTAAACCCTAAACCCTAAACCCATCTAAGAGCCGCGCCAAGCAGTCACCAACAGACATGCTTCGCAAGAGCTGGCCCAGATGCTACGTGGACGCTGTTGTGGGGATCCTCCACGGAAAATCCTGGACGGGCTAATATGGGGGCCTTATCATTAGTTCGAATAAGGATTAGGGGCCAGCGGTATACCATGCTACAAATAGAAAAAGGAACCCCGAGAGGAACAGTATGGGCAAATACTCAGGCTTCTATAGAAAAGCTTGACAGGGCAATGCTCAAATGGCACGCAAGACTCGGTAGCTCAAACTCAAGCTTACCACGCAACTGACAGTGGAAAAGCCTCGCTTTAGACACGCCCCAACGGCCTACAAGCACAATGTGCACATCCAGGAAGCCCCTGATTCCTCGTGCTCAAGCCGCGAAACCCCGAATTTGCCCAGTGAACCCCCGAGGCCTCGCCCCCGTGTGGAGGCGTGCAGCCAGTGCTCGTTCTCCGTGAGGCACCTCTCTGCTCCCCGAGCGACCTTCAGGAAACAGAGGGGGGTTTAGGGTTGGGAGGTTTGGGGGTGGTTTCCGTCAGTTTGGGGCAGTGCCGAATGCGAGCTGCAGGGTTAAAAGTTGCCTTGCCACTGATGGCCCTAAAGCCAGAATATCCGGCTCTAGGCCCTACACCCTGAAGCCGTAATCCCTTAACCCGAAAACCTTTATCCCTAAAGCCCTAAAGACCGGAAGCCACGAAAAAGGGCTCCGCTCCCAGGTCCACAGCCTGCATAGAGGTCAGCTGCTGCCTGGCTTGGGATTCTCGTGCTCAGGGTTGAAGGGTTTAGGGGGGTTTTAGGCTTTAGGGTTTAGGGGTTTAGGGCAAGCACCGGCAATCAACAAGAAGGTCATCACAGCAATACCCCCCAAGTGACCTGAGCCGCTCTTCCGAGCTGATGGACGAAAAGCCCTCCCTGCCGAGCCGGCCGGCCTGCGCTTGGTTGCGAGCTTGGGGCGTTTAGGGCTTCGCGGGGGAACCCTAAACCCTAAACCCCTACAAACCCTAAATTGGGGAGTTTGGGCGGTGTAATGGGCGGGTTGGGGCTTCGAGATTAAGGTGTCGGACTAAGAAGCGCGTATGGCTTTTCCTGTTTAGTCTGTATATCTTAGGGCTTGCGAGCAGTTTGGTTTGGGATTTGTTGAAAGGCTGTTGTATGCTTGGCAGGCCACAAGGCTGGCCAGGGATTATTGTTGTCAGGTCAAGGGACAGGGTCGTGGGTGGCGCTACAGTTTTTGAGGTTCCCGTGCTTGCGGGTCTGGAGCAATTTTTCTCTTCGCTTGTCCTTGAGCTGAAGCCGTTGGGCAACACACCACATCAAACCCCTGCCAAACCTCACGCAACCCCTAGTAAGCCGTCGAAAAGTCCCCTAATTTCACTATGGAATAGTATAAGACGTACACGAATATGCACGGAACCCCAACAGCATTAGGCCCGTGTCTTTACATCGTCCACATTGGGCCTCAGAGGGATTCACGAGGCCAGGAGGCATCTCGCTGAAATTGTCCCGGATGATTTTGGGCCTCTGCTTCGCTGCAAACTCCGACAAGGGAAGGTTTAGGATTTGAGGATGCGGGTTTAGGATGTTGGATTTAGGGACTAGTGTAAGGCGGCATAGTGTTTAAGAATTAGAGATGAAGGTTTATAAAGGGTTCAGTCCGTCTGGCAGATGCACAGTCAGAGGGTATATCAGGCCGGATTTCTACATGCAGGAGAGTGGCATGACCTCGCCATTGATCTCCAGCCTCGACCAATCCCAATACGGGATCCCAATCCTCTCGGTTTGGGTAGTTTTCTAAATTCAGGTCCCCTTTTGGGTCCTTTTTGTGAGGGCCGTACTATTTTGAGGATCTGAAAAGGGACCCTAATTTAGAGAACTACCCATTTTGGAGTTTCGAATTTTTAAGATGAAGGCCATACACTTCCTTGAGCCGTCTCTAGATGTGAAAGACAGAGTTACTGCTTCAATAGGGGCCTGAATGACTAGAAATAGGGCTTTGCCCATGTCAAAGTATACACATGTTGAGGAGCCCTTCAGAGTTTACTAGGTTGCTTAAGTGCACTTCTCCGTTGGTGCGTGGTTAAGGTTCAGGGCTCAGGGTTTAGGGTTCAGGATTTGGAACTTGGGCTTTAGGGACTTAATTAGGGTTCAGGAATTTAGGGTTTCGGTGTGGCTGGCACAGTGGCATCAGGCGTTATTCGGCAGACATCGAAAACAAACGAAGAGGACCAGAATTGGGCCGTGGTGGGCGTCTTCCGAAATTGTCTTACAATCCAAGCAGCTTTAAATGCCCCACCTTAAACCCTAAACCCTAACCCCTAAACCCCAAGCTCCAAACCCAAACCCCCGGTTGAGCGTTCAGGTCTGGTCCTGCCATCGTTGCCGAGCTCTTTGTCAGCCTCCACTGGGCGTAATGCGGAACCCTTAAAGGTTTAGGGTTCAGGGTTTAGCCCTAACATCGGGGCCTGAAAGGGCAATCCTAGGCGAAAGGGCCCATGGTTGACGGATTTTGGATTGAGGGCTTCGGGTAACTCTCAAACACCAGAAAGTCTGCAGAAGCTGCAAACAAACCGTTAAAATTGAATCGCAAGCCCCACATCCAAAGTCCAATCCCAAAGCCCTGGCCTTGATCAAGGCCTGCTCTGCTTCGCACAAGTATGCGCGATGCCATCCAGGGAAAGTCTCCTGACCTCGCGATATTGCAGAATCTATAGATGAGATACAACAGTATATAACTATAAGCGATACAATACAATAACATAACTTTCCATGGTTTGTAGCCATCGTCGATACTGATTGAAACCAAGATTGCTTCGGGCTTGGCGACGACAGGGCATAGTAGTACTGTTGACCCGAAGAACCGAAACCGAATGGACCGAAGGCGCCAAACCGCTGAAAGCTCTTCAGAATGAGACGACTAATATGAAGACAACAATGCGGGTAGTTCTCTAGAATAGGTTCCCCTTTTTATGGGTCCCAGAGAACTACCCATAATCCTCTCTTTCACTTTTTTTATGGCCCAAGCCCTGAACCCCCTTAAAGGGAATAGGAAAGGAAGCTGAGGCCGCAGGCCATGCTCACAGTAGTCTTCCGGCCAGCCGTGGTAGGACGCCAGGCGAAACCACTCCGAGGTTTGGGGTCCGTCCTCTGCGTGCGTCGTTTCTGAAACGGAAGCTTACCCTAACGGTCCATGTACCTTAAATGGTATATACTTTGGCCCCAAAGTATCTAGATAGGGACTACTTTCAATCAAGCCAAAGTATATACTCTTTCGGTAGTTTAGGGTTACGGGATTCACTGCGGAAGTGACCAAACACACGCAAGTTCTGCTTCTCGATTTGTGGGCTTAAGACCCCAAAGTATGAAGCCTTGCCTTAAGTGGGGGGATGACTCAGGTCTCATGATTCTCGAGTGTGCCTGCGTCCGGCTTCGGGAATATCCTTACGCCCCTAAACTCCCAAACCGTGAGCCCCCTGAACCCCCAACCCTCTGAACCCTAGACCCCACAACCGCATTCCATAAACTCCAGAACCGTAAACAAAAGCCGTGATCTTGTGTAAAGGTCTCCTTTGGAGAACAGAAGGTAACCATAAGACCTTAACATGGCTTGTATTGCCGGGCTTCTAGGGTAGCTGGTAAAAACACCTATGGCACAATGACTCAAAAACCTGAACCCTCAAACCTAGAAACCCTAAACCCGAAAAGCCCTAAGCTCTCAGCCCTGAACCCTGAACCCGGAAGCTTAAACCCAAAACCCTGAACTCTAAACTCTAAACCCGAAACCCTAACACCTACACCAATAAACCCCCAACCCCTAAACCCCTAAACCCTGAACCCTAAACTCTAAACCCGAAACCCTAACACCTACACGGGAACCCAGAGCTCCTTGTTCTCCATCAACTTCTTGACGGCTGCCACGAAGCGCCCTTGCTCTGCTTGCGGCATCAGTCGAATCTCCTTCCCGAGATCTGCCGTCTGAAACCCTACGTACAATCCCAAAGCAGATCTCTTGGCCTAAAGCTGTCTAAGGCTACCCCTAAACCCTAAACCCTTATCATCAACCCTAATCCCTCAGAAACCCTTCTAAAGGTTAAGAGGGTCTCTTGTTTCAGGAACTTTTTTGCTTCAACTCAGATCTCCGCCTGTTTGTTGGCAGATTTGGGGCTACAGGTTAGGGCTTCAAGAAATCCTAAAGCCTCATCAACTTAGGGTCTAGGGTTTAGGGTTTAGCCCGAACCCTTGAAGAAGTCCGGTAGGCCCTCAAAACCCGAAACAGGTCTATGCTCCCGAATCCAAAAACAACCCTTGCCTACCATCGGGGCAGCAGTCGACCGAACACCATTAGGCTTTAGGGTTTATAGGCTTTGGGAAGTTTCAAACTGTTTTTTTTGGTTTAGGGTTTAGGCTCTATTGTCATTTCCACGGGCTTTATGAAATTTCGGGCCTTCATGCAAGTGCGGGGAAGCCTTGGCAAGCCTAGCCAGAAAGCCTCCCCAGGTCCTTCCGCATGACCACAGGGCGCGAGACGCCTCTTACGAGAGCAACACCACCAAAAGAGGAGCACGACACAGAAGGCAAAGCATAATAGCAGCTGCAAGAATGCAAGTAGAGGCACCAATGATGATGATGATGATGATGATGAGTGCTGAGTGTGGCAAGGGGACGAAAGCCCCATCTCAACACTAGCTCAAGGTGCTGCCTGAAGTCTCTTTCGGGGCCACAAAAACGCCAAAGGCGGCGACCATCGCTGAAGTCTCGAAGAATCCACTCTCCGTCCCCCCCAATCCTTCCAAAGCGCAACCTTTTTAGCCTCAAGCTCTACCCGACTCGTTTGAAGGCTTTGGATTTCGGATTTCAGGTTATATGGGTCGGGGTCGTTTGCGTTAGCCGCGCCTGGGCTGTTCACCTGCACGCTGTACCCGAGCTGCAGGCGAGATGTACCTGTGGCGAGGAGCCGAGATGGCAAAGGAAGCCGTAATTCAAAGCACATCGTATCCCTTCGGGTTTGAATTTAGAGTTCGGTTTAGGCCGCCTAGACCCTAAACCCTAAACCCGAGATTCTTTAGTTTTCGGTCTCACAGGGGATCTTCACCTGTCTCGAGCCGAAGCTTCGTCGGTCTTGCCGTGGGCTGTTGAGCTTCGGGGATTTCTGGTTACGTTTGGCTTTGGGATCAACAGCTGCCCTAAAGCTGCTTCTGTCCTTCATGTAGCTGTTGGGCATTCCATGGAATATCACGACCGCTGCTGGCTCGAACATCATCTCTTCTCATCGTACTCCTAGTAGTCGCCGCCGACATCGTAGAAGTGGCAGCGGGAGTTGGAGCAAGCTCGTCGTCGTTCTGAAAGCTGATAAGATAAGTTCAAACACCCTAAACCCCCTGAACGAACCTAAGCCCTAACCTAAACACTAAACACTAAAACCCAAAGCACTCGGTCCCAAACACAACCCTAAAACCCTGCACCCGACCCCAAAACCCTAACCAAGATCTTGAAAGCCTTAAAACTTACAACCTTTAAGCTCGAAGCAACTTAAAGCGTTCAAGCCGTAGTGTTGGCCTCTCAGCCCTGGTAACTCCAAGGTCACCTGGCCGAGATCTGCGCGCGTTCATTTCTTGGGTTTGAGGTCCGGCGCTGCAACGCAAACATGAAAAGCCATAATTTCAAATTCCCAACTGGGTTTGTCGGCAAGAGCTGTGCACCCATATGAAATGAGTGCAAGTGACAGCTGGGTGCAACAGAGGGGGGGTGAACGCACATAGACAGGGGCGGGGGTGCCGGGTGGAAGGGAAATCGAGGGAGCAAGGGTGGTATTGTACACTACAATCAGGCGGGGTATCATATTGCATACTATATCTTAGACTTGTATCATGCTGCATTGGTGTGGGCACGATTTCAACGTGTGGGGTCTCGTCCTCTTGGAGAGGTCGGATCTTCCTAGAAGCGGCTCGATTAGCACAAGGCCTGCAGGAGTCTAACTCATGCACCAACAGAAGACTCTGTCAGAATGCATGCCACCCGACACCCACGACTTTGCCTTACATAAGGACTTCTGATGTCTAGTTCTTCCCACAAACCTAAGCCCAAACCCTTGCACCGAACCTCTGAAAGCCCTCAACCCTAAACCCTCAAACCTGAACCGGAGATGTCGGGCCTGAGTTGCCCCGACCTCTGGCAAGAAGAGCACGTCGCTGAGGAGCTGGTCGCCTCTTTTTCGCAGACTTCATTCAGGGTGTAGGGTTCAGGGTAGGGGCTTCCTTTGAGAGCTCCGTTACAGGCTTCCTTTGAGGCTTCCTTGCAAGGTTTTTACACCTTAAATCCGTAACCGGTTCTTTCGGCTCAGGGCTGCGGTCTGATGAGGGGGGGGGGGGCCAGATGGTAAGATCAAGGCTTGGGCCTTATAAGGCACCCTAAACCCGCCTATAACTCCCAAGGCCCAAATAAACCCCTGGGCTGAGTTCCCTGATCCGCTTCACCGATGCGATGCTGTCAGCGCGACGTGCTCTGTTTGTTAAAAACTGTTCCAGCTTCCATCTTCAGGTGGAAGGCTCTGCGAACCCGAAGAACCCGAGATATCCTCACCCGTGAACCTGACTGACTCTAGAAAACCCGAACATCATCTCAAAACGCTGGTTACGTGATCCCGCCTAACCCGACGTCAACACAAGAGCAAGTGACAAAATCCATGGATGTGAATCCGCAACAAGCTTCCTTTCCGCTTTCGCAGAGAGCCCAATACTCAAGAGATCGCAGATTTGCAGACGAACGAGCTGCTGAAATAGAAATGCCGTAGCCTCTTTATCCATACATCTCATACCCTATCCATAACTGACTTCAAGAATGGACCGTTCCACGAACACGGAGCCAAATTTAGAGCCAAATCGCGAACTCCCCACACCCCACAGCTGAAACAAGACCTTCGAAAAGTGTGAGAGGCTTCACCTCCTTCTGCGGACGTTCTCCACACTTCCACGGTGTAGCCTCGCAGGCGCCCAGCTGTCTGCACCCGAACGGGCGCTTTCGGGTCTTTGGGCTCTGGGGTCTTCAGCGTGTTTCGGTGTCGGGGCTTCGTGAAAGTTTGAAGGGTTGAGAGGTCAGAACAAGCCCACGAAAGCTTGGGCCTCAACACACTACAGTAAGCTACAAACCCGATGCCACGTTTAGGAGAAGTTCTTTCTAGGGCCTTTGTCGCTTTTCATTTCAACACCGAGCTGCGGGGAGAATGTGTTCCGGTACCGGGCCCGACGTGGGTGCTACGGTCCCGATGACGGCAGGGAGGCGGGCTGGTGTACTGGTCGGCCTTTCGCCATCGGTTAAGGGTGCAGAGTTTCCGGATCTAGTTTCGCGTGCAAGATCTGCAGCATGGGCGCTCGCAGCAATGGCAACATTCTCCGAACCTTTCAAACCTTATATCCAGAACTGCAACCCTCTGAGGCAAAACAACCTGCTGTTTGGTGCTCTTACGATGATGAAACTATGACAGTTACTGTTCTTACGAATAAGCATACTGCTACTATGACGACTCTCGCTATTGCCACTCATTGCTTTGTGGTTCTTGTACATGTAGCAATACCAAGAACAGTGATTGTAATGATAGGTACAAGATCGGATCTTCGCCTTGCACATCCAGGAGGAGTTCGCGGGCATCCTCCCAAACCGGATTGTTCGGATCGGAGCCCGCAGCTGGTTGCCACCTGGAGGGCAGAAACCCGTCACCCAAACCCTTAACCAAACTCAGACCCCAAACCCAAGCTACCTGAAAGCGAAGTGCTGAACACAGCTTGGTTCGGGGTCGTTGTATCTGGTTTGGGCTCGAAATTATGCTGCAGCATTGGTTCGGTTGGAGGAGGCTTAGCACTCTTAGATCCAAGTCAGAAGCAACGAAGAAAACCAAGAAAGAACCCAGGCACCTTTGTTGCACTTCCAAGGCCACCCCTGTCCTTACGTGCGCGAGCAAGTGGGCTTCTGGTGCTGGTGCTAGTTTAAGATGTCTTTTCCAGCGTCAGATTTCAGTGTGCCGGTTGGCATTTTCCCACATAAACAACACACGGTTACAGTCACACGCTGCTGTCAGAAGAGCAAAGCGTCATGAGAATGTACGGCTCCAGGGCGACACCCTCCTCCACGAGAAGGTTTAGGTCCTGTGCTCGAGCTGTAAGCCCTATAGAACAGTCAGTCAGGTGAACAAAGAGCCTGGATCATTCACCAAGACAGACTCACCAGGTGTAGCCGGTGGGGAGACATCCGAGAATAAAGGGATGAAGACGGTGGTTACGATGATGATCAGGATGATGAATGACCTTCAGGCCCCCAAACCCCACATCCCTGAACAGGGCTCCTGGGCAGCCACCCGCGCTACCGCAGCAGATCAGGGGAAGAGGGTGGCGAAAACAGCGGCTCCTGGCCGGTTCGGGCTTAAGGCTGCCCAGTCGACACACGCCAGAGCAGCTCTGCAAGTTTAGGGTTTAGGTTTTTTTGTTTTAAGTAGGGTTTAGGGTTTAGGGTAAATCTTTGAACCAGGAAACAGTGCCGGCCTCCAAACTCATGGGCAAGCGGCCGCGAGCTTCGGGCAAGCCCCAGAACCGATTCCTACTTCCGAAAAAGGATGACCCCGAAAATTCAAAACAGCACCGGGGGTCCGGAGCAATGGCCCATGTCAGCGTCACAGTGCCCCCGGCAGACATTGGCCAGGTTTTGGTTCCTGAGCTTTCACTATAGCTTTTGGGCCCTACTGAACCCCTGCCCTAAACATCAAGCCCGACATCTTAAGCTCTGTAACATTAAGGCCTAAACCCTTAGCCCTATGACTGCAGAGCTTTGGGCCGCTTTGTGGGGTGGAGTTTAGAGATGTGGGCAGAGGCTTTGCAGGGTTGGAGCTGTTTCAGAGGTTCTCTCAAGATTCCTGAACCTTCGACCCTCGACCCTGAACCCTCTCTCCCGTGTCCGCCAAAGGGAACCCTCAAGCGTCCCGCACCCTGAATCAAAAGGGTTTTGGGGGTTGGGGGGCCTTTAGGGTTTCCAAGGGTTTTGACATTGGGTTTAAGCTTTCTAGTGTTAAAAACCCTAAACCCTAAAACCCTAAAGCTTAAGGGCTTAGGCCCTAGGCCCTAGGCTTTGGTTGGCCCCTGAACTTAGAGGCCAAGCGTCCGAACGAAGCCTCACTTTGGAAGTCGATCATCACCTTGGGAGGAAGGATGCTGCGAGGACCTGATTATATTATACTATATTATACTATATTATACTATATTATACTATATTGTACTATATTATACTATATTATACTATATTATACTATATTATACTATACTATACTATACTATATTATACTATACTATTATATTATTATATTATATGCTTCAGGAGGAAACCTCTCACTACTTTACATCTGGCTACCCCGGTTCCACATTGGGTGTCGCAACAAGCCCCAACCTCAACGCGATACCGTGAAGCGGCATAAAGCTCGAAAGGCAACGGCAGAGATTCATCCTTCGTAGTCGAAGTCCCGCGAAACAGCTCAAAACTCAGCCGCACCTCTATCCGGAGTAAACCCGACAAGCACGAGGTTGACCTGCTTGGGGCGGCTCGGGGTCTCGCACCTAAACTCTGAAACCCTGACAGGGCTTACATGGGGTTTAGGGCTTCGGGATGTACCGGCCTGCTCCAGCATCTCATCATTGCCGCCGCCGCTGTTGTGGTCCCAAAGCTCCAACATCCTTTCGCTTGAAAACGCTTGAAAAGATTCAAGCCCGAAACCCCTACTTGGGGGCGGAATTGGTCGATCTGAACCTCAAAGGCCCTATAAACCCCGAACCTCCAAAACCCTAAAGCCCCCCGCCAAAGCAAGCAAACCACCAAGAAACCAAAAAAAAACACAAATCCCAGAATCCCAAACACCCTAAACCCTAAACCCAAATACCCAAAGGCCAAAACCCTAAAACAACCCCAAACCCGAAGCTCAAGAGTCCCAAACCCAGAAGCCCTCGGGGCAGAGACATCCGAGCCACAGCTGTGCAGCATCCTGGACACCACCAAAGGTCACCACATAGGGGCCTGGCTAGGAGTCATACAGGGGGTGTTTAGGGTTTGGTGGTCTAAAAGGTTTGGGGTTTAGGGCTTCAAGGTTTAAGGTTTAGGACAGGGGCCTTGACGGCCTTGATAACTAGATTCTCTAAACAGTGAGTGGATTCGATATAGCTTTCTACGACCCAGAGACTCAAGCCCCTGTCTGCCTGACTCTACTCTTACGAAGTCGAAAGAGCGCGCCCCTTTAGGGCTGGGTTAAGAGTGACGACCTCGCGCGTGGATCAAGGAAGATTCCGGAATAACACCTTTGAAGCGGGTTTCAGGTCATAGCCTACAGATCGGTAACCTTGCTTTGCTTTGCTAGGTCTGGTAGGTTGTATCTGTCTTACACCTGGGACCCCTATACAACTCGTATGGAACCCCTTACTTACAGAACCCCTCACCCCGTGTAGAGCTGCAGGCATCGTGCCTGGGAAGCTGGGCGTGGAGGTCCGTCGCTGGAAATCCTCCCGGCTGCCGACAGCCACGCGATGAGACTTCACGAGGAGATACCTTGAAGAGGGTTTTGGGGTTCCCTTTCGGGTGTAGGATTCAAGCTTAGCCGGTTCAGCTTCGGGTGCAGAGTTTGAGGTTCAGGTGCAAGATTGTTGGCTTTAGGGTTCGGCTTCGAGTGTAGGAATGAGGGCAATGTGGCTTCAGCTCTTCCTTGAGTCTGCGGCGCTTTGGCCTTGCTTTTATACCCAAATTGCCCAATCCTACACACTCCCAATTCAACCCTAGACTAAGACTAAGCCCTCCAAAGCCCTGAACCCTAAAAGACCTCCAGCACCCGAAAAAAAAATCTACGGTCGTGCTCGACATTCGCATGGATCATTGCTGTCATTGCTTAGGGTTCAGGGTTTAGGGTTTTGGGTTTAGGCTGCCTGACTTCCCAAAGTGCTTACTTGATCTGAGCTGCGGGTCCGGAGGTCGCTGCTCCTGCACCCGGACAGCGGATAGCAAAGGGTTTAGGGTTGGAGGGGTTGGGGTTTAATGAAGGTTTAAGGACACGGTGAAATCTGCACACTTCTTATGATTTACGGTGAGAAAACCCAAATTCAATTTTGGCGAAGAGGGTTGAAGATAAGCATGCGAGGCTTCCACCGGCATTTGAAGAGGATTCCGAAAGCAAGAGTGGTTTGTCGATTGAGTAGCTGCAGGGTTTAGAGCTCGGCGCGCACCAGATGGATTCCAGGACCTCAGCCCAATAAACCTGAAGCCCGTCGCGACAACTCAGGAGAGAAAGCATCAGCACGGCGATCAAAGCAGAAACAACGCAACCTGAAACCTCTCGGCAAACCTGGATCCCTCCACGGAGCTTCCCTTAGAGCGGGAGGTTCTCCATGAGAGGTCTCTCTTTGGGGGCTATCAGGTGCGTCTTGTGAGAGCTCACCTTGCAACCCCTAAACCCCTAAACCC